TATGATTGTATGATTCTATGATCTTCAGCCAGCAAATCCTCTGCAGAATTATACTGCCAAGGTAACATTTCAGTTGGAAAACTGAAAAAGATTCCTATGTGAATTTATGAGAGACACTGAGAATTGGCAGGCAACCCTTGTCTGATAAGCTTGGGAACACCTAACACAAAAATTCAAGCTATACACATGGAAGGCAGAGCAACTTCTTAGCAATAACTTATGTGGGTGCAGGATTCAGATGCAGAAAACCCTACAGCATGCAAGTGTCAAATGCAAATGTAACACCCAATCAGTGGTCACGAGAAAAAGATAAAAAGACACAGTGGTGAGAGAGACATCTCTGTACTGCAAACCTCTGTGTCTGCACCCATGTTTTGCACACTTTGCTGGTAGACCACTACAAAAAACCAGCATGCCCTTATGGGAAGAACTTTAAAAACTTGCTATCATATTAAATACCTTTAGAAAGAATCAAAATGTATCTTGCCCAATATATCTAGCTCTCAATTTTATGCAAGAGTTAGAGATCAGCAGCTCTCCATATTGTTGAATGAGATTATAGCATTGAAATGCTTATTTCTATGACACAGGATCTTACTAGTTATAACCCAGTCTGAAAATGTACATGATAACAACACAATGTAACACACTTCATATTTCAGAAGACTCTTCCAAAGTTCTTTTAAAAGACAACATGTGACTTTTAGAATTCATCAGCTCTAGTTACCCCAAAATCATTCTTCATCCTCCAGCTAACCCTGGTGTTATTCACCCACTGGAGGTTATGTCGGCAAAAGGGTCCTAAAGGCGTAATTATGTCCTTTATGGCTTTGACCTCTCAATAAGTGGTCAGCTTAGAAAGCAGCATAAGAGACAAAAGAGGCACTAGACCCATGTTCCGATGGGACAGGAGAAGACTTGTGTTTCCACAGCATATCTAATGCTTGGTTCTTTCTGTCAAATACAGTTTCACAAAAGGCACAAGGCTTTGAGGACTCTGTGAGTCAACTACATCTACTTCTATTTCTGTGCTGCTACATCTTTCTGTGATATCACACAGCAAACAGATGAAAATAGGGAAGTTGAGCAAATAGCTGACGCAGAAAAGGCAAGAGGTAAATATCATGGCAGGGGGGTTGGAACTAGATGATCTTTAAGGTCACTTCCAACCCAAACCATTTCGTGATCATCAGACACTGGTACCACACAAGGAAGTAAAATAGGCACCACCAGCATATGTCCTGTCCTTCCCCAGTGAGTCCCGGGGATTGTGTCCCACAGCCACAGAGGGATGTGTCTGGGCCAAGGCAATGGAGTGGGCTTTAGGATGGGGCAGCCCAGGGAGGAGACAGAGAAGGCACTCCAGCTCTGCTTCGCTGTGCTCCTGGCAGCTGCCCACTCTGCACCGCTCTCCTGCCCTCCCTTCCCAGCCCAGGCACCAGTCCTGGGGCTGAGCTAAGATGCTCCCCGAGCTCGGGCTCCCAGCAGCTCTGGAAGGTTTAGAGCTGTGGTTTAAACCGCTCTCCTGAATTGGTCTCCTAAAGCCACACCTAACATTCACCTGTAGCACCACAGAAAGCAGCGTGAAGGAAAAAGGAGCATAGTCACTGGGAAGCGAAATGGTCAGAACAACTGAGTATGAGATATGGGACAGAAGCACTTGACAGCACAGAACTGAGCTGAAAGTGATCCACGGGAGGTTTCGTCACAGGCACAGGCTAGAAAAAGAAGCTGGGAGGACTCGTTCTTTTACTCGGGCAGTGGTTTCTGCTGAGTGAGTGGCTATGCCTCGTGGACACTGTGGGGAAAAGGGGGGAGCATTCTGCTGACACATATCAGTCTTCTTGAAGACTGACGGCTTATGCACAGAGGAGCTAGCAGAAGAATTTGACAATGCACTCAAACAGAGCAGGAAGTTTCACTTTGAGGTTTCCCTTTACATGCAAAAGGCCAAAAAATCTAAACTTGACCATGAATTAACTTATTGCTGCAACCAAAGGAGCCCAGCCAACTTGCTGCACACCCTAAAATCTAGTGTCATATTTTCAGTCTTATCTACATAAGTGATAAGCTGAAGAGGACACTGAAACTAGAGGCTGATTATGTGCATATCAATCGTATCTTTAATACCTGTGCCACCAGTCTTACGACTGTGACAACGGGAGCTGTTGCTCAGAAGGAGCTTGTGGAGAAAACGATCAGTTGTTACCAAACAGTATTTTAGACTCCATATTCCTAATTATCAGTCTAAATGGTATGTCTCGAGATCAGAGAGGATTTTTTTAAAGGCATGGGTATGCTGATACCTATGGAGTTGCAGAAAAATATCTTTAGAAGTAAAATTTAGAAGTAAATATGATTGCAGTTAGATACTGAAAAAAATATAAACAGGCTATAGAAGATCTGGTTTTAGATGGTAAGCATTGATTTACCTTGGTCGCCTGGAAAACATCTAGGAACATTTGCTAATGTTTTATTCAAGGTACCCCAAATATATTTTTCTTGATAGATCAGGTAAACAGAGGATGACACATACGAAACCTCTTTTCACTAGACATGGCAACTCATACAGCAATATGCAAAGATGAATCACTGTAGTACTGTGAGTTTCAGCAGGTCCCATTGCACAGGATTTTTGCTAGTAAGTGCTTATTTCTGATCATGTCTTTGCACAGACCAGAGAGGAAACACCTTAAGTATGGTAAGACTGCTAATTGAAATGTCATAAAATCAGACTTCAGCATTTCTTTGTAAGTGGTAAATGAAATAACAGTACCTATGATACCTGGTGATACTGTGTTTGACTAGAAAATTGGAAAAAAAGAATGCCAGTGCTACAAACTACTGATAGTTACAGGGGATGAGCAGGTGGTGAGGAGCAAAATGAAAGAAAATTAAAAGCTTGGTGTGGTTTTGCAGTGCATGGAGCTGTCACCACGTCACAGTGACAGAGCTCTGCTATCTCTTAAAATAGCTCCAGAACTCAGTCTTCTTCAGAGAAATCATCAACGATTACCCTCTGTCCTAGAAGGGAGGGCAATGGCAAATTCAAGCCAGCTGTCTGTCCAAGGTCTTCTACAGGTAAAACTCTTATCAGGCTGGACCAACTGAGCTTAAAAATGTGACACAGACAGAATGCAGAAGCTTTCTGCAGGCTGACCGAAGCGGGCTCAGGTCTTCTAGAAACCTTCTAGGCTGTGTGGTAGTGATACTTCACTGAATGTACCTAGTTAGTTAATAGAATATTTGATAATCCAAATTGGAAGTTACTGATAACATTTGGGTATACCTTCGGAAGTGAGGAACTGTGCCGTTACAAGGCTCTAGTAAGATTTATTCAGTTTTCAGGACTCAATTCAGATGCCTAAAACTAGGCGTTTAGTGACATTCAAGATACCCAGGGTTTCCCAGACAGGGGCACATGGCTGGCAAATCTGACACGACATCTACAGAAGACCCATAGCCTTCTGCACCAGAAGGCAGATCTAAAACACCTTAAGACACTTTAAATGGCATTATACCCTTAGCTCTAGGGCACTAAAGCACACTAAAGCTACATGGACGCTCATCCAGTGCAAAGCTAAGAAGTAGGATCAGATGCTGAAAGGAGCAAACACCAAATTCCTTGGCCCTGAAGGGCTCCTAAACAGCCCAGACAACTCTCTAAGGGGGAAAGTGCCGGGATTCATCTCTGACCTGGAGGCCACCTGGGGTGTCTAGAATGAAACTGCATGTCTTCATGAGAGCAACTGACTCAAGCCTAAATTTATGTGAGCTGAGTCCCACTGTTTAACTGGACAGGTAGTGGCTTGCAAGGTCTCACACCAGTATTTACATACTAGCTCTCTGCAAACACTACAGAGAGAACATGAAGAGGGGCAGATGCTGTCTTCACACCACAAGAGATGATGCAAGTTCTAACACCTCTGCTGTGAGCTACGTTGTTGGGGAGGTTTTTTGCCTTTGTCACAGTTACAAATACCAAATATCCTTAAAAGGATAAACAAAGCCCACATCCTTTAGGTTTAGATATATATATATATAACAGTGAATAAGGGAGAACACCGGACAGGAATCATGAGAGCTTTCCTCACTTTGTTCACATCTGCTGCTGTCATTCTCCTGGTAATTGATGGAGGTAAGTGCCCAGTTCGATCCATTTGAAGGTAAATGCTGACGCACAGAGTTCCAGCTAAGTTAACAAATATTAATGGAAAAGAAGTATTTATGATTAGAATTCGAGTTCTTATTATTAGCTCTTTTCCACTATCTGCATGTGTTTGATCTTTCGTACAAACAAAATAATTTCTGAATGGGTAGTATTCACTAAAACTGCACAGAGGACAAGGCTATTTGGAGGAGGTCAGAGCGGTTAACATACTGATTTTCTGACCTTTCTCTCCAGAGACATAAATGTACATTAATCTCTTGATTTTCTGTTTTTCTGAAAAACAGGTTTATGTAATGTAACTTACACTACATAGCCCAGATGTCTGCATAAGTCACATACTGTACATTTATCTTGTGGCAGATCTGAGGTTGTTATTCACAATGAAAGCTAAGAAATTAACCATAGCAGTGAACTTCAGGAAAATAAATCTGTGCAAGAGCAACAATACTTTGGTGTTTTTCTTGTCAAAGCTCACCCCACTGATCTAATTTTGGTCTCATTGAAACATGCAGAAGTAGTACTGCTAAGCAATTTAAAAAGTCTACAGTGAAGACCAGCATTGTGACGTTCGTCCATACTTGTGTGTCTGTATACTTTGTAATTACATTAACTGTTTTTTCTAAAAGCCTTGGAGTGTCTGACATTATTTCTTATGCCAGCTGTGCATATTTGTGGCTTATTTTCATTTTTAGGTTTGTGTGTGGATATCGTTGGAGGAAGTGAAGTAGCACCACACTCTAGACCATTTATGGCCCTAATCCAAAGAGCAAATGGAAAGCTTATTTGTGGAGGAGCTTTGATCAAGAAAAACTGGGTGTTAACAGCTGCCCACTGTAACGTGTAAGTTCTTACTCTGATCCACAGATTGTCCTTACCTGGTGTCTCTGTTCACAAAGGAAAGTTAATATCCCTGGTGCATTTTTTGTGCATTTAGCACGACCATGATTATGTTCTGAGTTCTGTGTTTTATAATTCATATTGCCTCAGTGCGTAAAAAATAATATAACAAGGTATACTGATCTTCGCTGTTTCTGAAGAGACATTTTGCAAGCTTCTAGTTGCATGCAAGTGCAGAACAACACTACTGAAGTAGTGAATTTGAGAGAAAGCTGCTTTGTCCCTGATTTCTCAGTCAACCAGTGCACTAGGCCAGTCTAAATAGCTGCTCAGAAAACAGAAATAAATTCTCCTAATTTTATTCCGTAAAAGACAGGCAGTTCACCACAGAAAGAGACAGCATGCAGTTATATAGGAGCAAAAATCCTCCAGACAGTTGACAGGAGCCACTGAGAGATCTCTGCGCTACGTAGATTTGTCAGCCAACCTTCCTTCTTCCTGTCTGACTCAAGATGCAATGGCTGTTTGGCTCCACAGAGTCCCTCAGGGAGGCAAGATGTGAGGTTTAAATGACACGTCTTACCCTTTGCTGTTGTGGGAAGGACTTGAGCTGCTGCTGAGCCAGACCTCACACAGGCTCTGTCAATAGCCTGCTGAGGACCAGTGAGTCACTGGACGCTGCAGACATCAGAGAAATGTATCCGTCTCTCCTGTCCCCATCCAAACAGGAAGAACTATAGGATCTACTGCAAAGGGAGCATAGGGCCGAAAAGTTGTTGTATTAACATAAGGTAAAGAACGTATCCAAATGAGATTGCATTTAAGAGAAAATAAAATAAATACTTAACCTAATGATACTCAGTCAACAGTCAGATAGCTATTAACAGCCGAAGGAAAGAGCAACCACTTCCTCAGGATGGTGTTTGCTGCAGTAAGTTGCATATAAGGGCCAACCTACATATCTGCTCAAAGCATATTCTCCAATTCAGCTGTAACATACATTGTTACACCCCACAGAGAGTCATAGCCATGTTCTGATATAAAGGTCTGCTTGGACTGCTTGACCAAGGAGTGCTGGACTCCTGGTTGCTGTAGCAGGGAGCCCCATCAGGCACAACTGTCACCACTTCTGCACCTAGTAAGTATATGAAGTTGCAGAACAAGTCAGGGAAAGGGAATGAGTTATGTCCCATATGGATTCAGAAAATTTTGTTGAAATGGTGTTAGAGCAAAGAAACAGCACAGTTCCACCCAGTTTTGATGATCTCTGAACTAACAGTGCTGTGAGCTATTCTAAATTTTCAGCACAAATTGCAGAGGGCAGAGTTGGTGAGACCACTACCAACAAAGCTGATGCATCCACCCCTCATTCAGTTCCCAAAGGGAAACTATAGGGGTAGGTTCAGAGTCGAGTACCTGAACGCTGTCTATGCTCCTGGGAAGCTGCAAATAGGACAGCATGAATTTTAATTCACTGAGTCTTTTTTAACTTCCTGTGAAAAAAAAGGTAATCTCATGTTTTTCTAAATTACTGCTGCTTTTCCGGCATGACAAAAGAGACCCTGTACCATGCGGACATTATAACACCACATTTAACAGAAAAGAATTATGGAGTTAAAGCAAGCAAATCTCACTAACCGTGTTCTCTCTCTTCTCAGGGAAGGAGGCAAAGTTATTCTTGGAGCTCATTCGCAGAAAGCAAGAGAAAAAGAAAAACAGGTTTTTGAGATTGCAAGACAAATTCCCTACCCAGGCTACAATTGCCGTAGTAAGGAAAAAGACATTATGCTGCTGCAGGTATAGCCTTACACATCATTTATGGAATATGCACCTCCAACAATCCACTAGTTTCTTCTTTCTTGTGAGGGAGATGAGCCAACAGGGTTTCTGGTGGCGATATAGTCTGGTCTGCTAATCCAGCAGAATGGGGAACTGGGAACTAAAGCAATCAACAATTCCTCTAATGCATGCCAAAGTAGAAAAATTCTGGAGCTTGAATAAGATATTTCACTTTCTGGCTTTTCAGTGAAAGAACAAAGATTGTCCACAGAAATAACCGTATTTCACACATGAAATAATTTGCTTAAATACCCTAACGCTCTGTCTGAAAACCAGTTATAATTAAGAATTTCTGACCTCTCTGATTCTCACTTTTGGCAGCTTCAGCGATTACTGTTATTTATTCTCACAGTGGTCAGAGAAGTAAAATAGGGAATGTTTTAGAGATAATATTTCAGCAGAAGCTAAATGGATTGTCATGTGAAAACGAATATTCATTTTCCTCATTCTTACACTGATTACATAAATACTGTAAAAAAGAATGGAGAAATCTCAAAAAGGGGCTGCAGTAATCCCCCATTCCCAGAGTGGAAAAGTTCCAACAGATCCAACAAGCAGGGCCCTCTGTCAGCCTCTGTCCTGTAACAACTATTTGTCTTATATTCTACAGCTTGACAAAAGAGCAATAATTACTAAAGCTGTGAAAATCATTCCCCTGCCTACCTCAGCTGATGATCCCAAACCAGGAACAACTTGCAGCATAGCAGGATGGGGACAAACTCACAAATATCTGAAAAATTATTCTGATACCCTGAGGGAGGTCAATATCACTGTCATCAGCAGGCAAATCTGCAACGACAACAAACATTATAATAAGAAACCTGTCATAACAGAAGACATGATATGCGCAGGTGATAAGAGTGGAGGAAAAGACTCATGTTCTGTAAGTATACTTACTGTTTATATCCACACAGGTTATATTAAAAATAAAATATAAAGTAATAGCTTTCACACACTTACGATTTCTGCCTCTCTTCACTTCGGTGAAGAATTTTATTACAGATGAGTGAATTTATCAAAACTTCTGACTGATAAATTCACTTTCACATATTTTGGATATTGTGGTTTTATCCAGGCATGGCCAGTATCTATTCTCCTCTTCAAGAACTTTTTAATAGAAAAACCTCGACAAAATACCTTATGAGCACATTCTCAAGCAGCTAAGTAACCTCAGTGGAACACCTTCCCTGATGTCAGAGAGCTTTGAAAAGGGTTTTTCTGATAAAAAGCATTTTGACTGCGCTCCAGGTCAAATGTACTGCTGTGTAGGAACTACCACATTTTAAAATACTTAAATATTGAATTAACAAAGTTATGAAAAAGCCCAGATTTCTAGACTTTCTGCTTTTCTAGAGGCAAGTTTCCGGCTTTTTCCTTTCATATTCAAAAAGACTAGTCCTTAGCACTGAGCTAGATTCATTTCCCGTTACTCACACTTGAAAAATCACTGAAGCCTTTTTTTTTTTTGCTAATGAAATCTTACCTTCCAAAGAGGATCCAAAATAGCACTGTCCTCTTGTTCATTTCCTCCATGCAACTGGTGCAAAATTTATTTAAAAGAAGTATTTTTTAACTTTTCTAAATCTGAATGACAATTTTCTTTTTTTTTTTTTTTTTTCCCCAGGGGGATTCTGGCGGACCTTTAAGATGCAATAATGTGATGAGAGGCATTACTGCTTTCGGGAAGTCAAACTGTGCCACGCCCGATGGCCCTGGTGTCTACACTCGTCTCACAAAGCAATACCTTCAGTGGATAAGGACAACCATACAGGGAGACGAATAGATGGGGTTTTGACCAAGTTTTAGTGACCAATCTTTTGACCAAAGGATTTCCTACTCTGCACTTGTGTAACAGTACCTAGCTTTGAAATACACTTCTAAAAACAGCTTCATTATACTGGTAAAGGAGGTATTCCCACGCTGAATTTTAGCAGCTTGATGTCCTTATAGGTGAAAATACATATGTCAGTTTTCAGGGCAGATGTGATCTTAACAGGGCCAGAACATAGTGCGCTGCTACAACAGCATTTGTAGCTTATACTGTCAGCCATGGTGTAATTTGAGGGGGATTTGTGACTCAGGCTTCCAACATTCTTGTGCTGCACATTCAGACTGAGCTCTACATGGATGAGTATTTCTGACCAAGAATCTAATACAACTGTTGGTGTCCTCACTGCATGCTGGCTGTATACTGCACTCTTCCATATCTGGACTTCTGCAAATAAACCTGAGAGTCAGTGAGATGCTAGGTACCACTCCAGACACCTGGAAAACTTGGTAGTTCCTCTGAAGCAGAGCTCCTGATTTCACAGATGTCAGGGACTGCTAAAGTTTAGGAAAAGTTTCAGCAACTGCATTTGATCGTGGAGCATAGTAAGTGTTCATTTTCTAGCTGTCTTTTATTTGAAACCTCTAGATTTCATCCCTTTATGTACTTAGCATTTAATAAATGGCAATAAATTTCTACTGCTTGTAGCTGTCATCAACTGCTTCAGTACAGATAATCTGTGTACATAATATTTTGGATGTGCTGTGTGTTTGCAGAATGCACCAAGATCAGCAACATTATGTTAAGAAATCAGCTGAAAGCCCCTCCTCCAGAGAAATGACAGAACGCCTCTCAGCTGGAGTATCAGTATGATAAAGCGCTGTTCGTAACAGAAAACAATTTTATAATGCCACTACTTCTGTTTCAGACAGCAGTGAAATTTTTAAGTGCTTCAACAAACCACTTGTCAAACAGCAAACACAGCCATCATGATAAATCATTCTGTCCATCTCCGTACTAACAGCCTTGGGCACTTCCAATGACATGAACACTTCAAAAAGGGCTTGGTATTATTTTGTGTTGCTTTGGGGTTTTTTCAGTCAAATGTAGGCAGTAGCTAAGAAAAAGCAAAGGACATTCAAAGGGTGGAGAAATCTTGTATTAATTTTAATTAAAAAACTATTGCTTAGTTCATCATAAGCAATTAAACATCACTTATAAGCACAATATGGGAAAACACAGACTGAAAATTTTTGACACAATTGCCTTGCCCTGAACTTGTGAACAAACAGTAGCTTTCTCATAGAGGAATAACAAAGGGTGAAGGAAGGACAAGGCCAACTACAGGGGACTTCACTGAAAATTTTGACACTAAACATCATCTTTTATGTTTTCTGTTCATTACAAATGTTACACAGTCAGAAGTTCTCACATTCCTTTTTCTCATTCCTAAAATGCCTGTTCTGACTCTTGGGCTGAACACATAACAAGCACACAGACACAGAGGCACACACAAACACAGGAGCAAAGCAAGAGCAGAGAGAATTCCCAGCCAAATAAGATTGCATCAGTGAAACTGGGAGAAGAATTTGGCCTGCTGACTGGTACTGACACCCAAAGTGGTGACTTTGTTTCTGTCTTTAAACACAAAGAAAATACACAAGACAAGTCCAAGTTTTTCCTGTGCTTGAAAACGTCCAAACCCTTGATTAGGAAAGAACTGATTCTAAAAACCTTCCGAAAACAAAAATGTACTTATCAGTTCAGTGAAAAATCTGTAGCCAGTCTCCAAGACAACTGACCACCTAGGGCTGTTTCACACTTTACATACATTACTCTTACTTAATTTCTCTCCTCTTTGCCCATCCTCAAGCTGTCATCTAGGCTGGGACCTTCTCTTATCACGAGGCATGAACCCATTCCCAGTACAGCTCCATCGCTATGGGATGGAGCCCGTGCAAGTTTATTTACTAGCTAAGAGAAGTGTTATAATAATTCAATGCCATTTTGACATCCAGAATATAGCAATTTCTTCTCACTGTGGGTGTGCGAGATAACCGGGGAAAATGAACAGGTATAAACTGCATTACACAAACTAATGCAACATTCATGAAGGTAGCCTCAAGGCAAATCATATAGTGGCTGAAGAACAAGACTCAAGACTGACTGCTAGAGGCTATCCATGTCCAGAAACAAAAGGATTTCCTAGTCTGAGTTTCTTTAATCCATTTCACTGCATTACAGACAGACAATCACTTTGTTGCATTGATATACCTGGGAAGGCACATGCCCAGTATGGGCAATGAAGTTTTTCCTCTTGACTATCTTTGTCCTTAAGTTTTTGGTTCCCACGTGTTGTACAGTGCTTGGCCTTGGACAGGACTGTGGGGATGACAGCCTGAGTTTAGGCAACTTAAATTTTACTTAATCCTCTGTTCCACCTCTGGAGACTCAGCCTTTAGTGCATACAGACCTCAGGTGCAGAGCAAGCTGATCTCTTAGAAATGGACTCTGATCTGGGGTCTCAGCCTGTGCTTGAATGATACACCAGGCATGTGACAGGCAATGAGGTAAAAATATGCCATATTTTACAGGGAGGAAGTCAGGATTTCACATTTGGCCCAAGCCTTCATAAGTCTAGACCTCTGCACTGGCAGCATGAGACAGCTGTGCAACAATGATCTAATGTCAGCAACTGCACACCCTATACCTGCAAGCATTCAGCAAGATTACTTGCAAAAGATTACTGAAACAGAATCATGCTGCCTACTCAAGTCCTCAGACTCCTATTACAGAGAGAGAGGTACCTGCTGTATGAAAGAAACTGACAGTAAAGGAGCCTATCTGGAAAAGAAGCCCGTCCAGAAAAGGCACTCCAGCATATGTTTACTTTCACTCCAGGCAGGTCACGCTCTGGAATTTAAATGCATGCTTAAATGCTTTCTCAGGCATGGTCACAGAACAGAGCTACAGGTCACACATGAAAGATTCTCTCATGCTTATGGGCTGTTGGTTAGTTCCACTGAGACCAGTGACTTCTCCTGCTTTTAGATGTTAAAATATTTCTGGGGCAATACAGCTTGATCACTCAATAATGAACAAGCATAATTAACTAAGAAATGAGCACTTCTCAGTCTGAAAGGAATGTATTTTCTTATTTTGACAGTTGGGCATCCAACAAACTATGCTTAGCTTCAACACTGACCAGCTCCTTCCCTGCCACAGCCCCCTATCCTGTGTTATACATCTCTTCCTGTATTTGGCAAACCACTAGCACTTAGGTACCATCCAAGGAAAGAGACAGAGTTTTTGGGACAACCCAAAATATATAGGAGTAAAGAGACTAATTCCACTGCTTTGTTCCCATTCAAAAGAGAAAAAATGCTTTTAACATTTTAAAAAACTTTTTAATTATTTCAAACACTGGTTTGAATATTTAAATCAGATTCTAAATGTTTGATAAAATCTGCTGCAACAAACACGCACATATGAGAAGACAGGCAGAGTACAAGTTATTTCCCACTTTTAGACATAAGCTTCTTGGTAGTCATTTCTCAACTGGTAACCAACGTACCCGTCTTCTAACCTGTTTTGAAGACCACACAAGTTGACATCAGAAACCAGCAGCTTGGTAGCGTATTTATTGCAAATTAACATCTTACTAGGTAAAAAGATAAGTGGCCTCAACCTTCCAGACCTAAAGTTAGCAACCACGTGATTTATGAACAGTAGAGGATGAGGTTTTAAAACTGATGAGAACCAAAGACATGATAGTTTCATATTCATTTTCAGAGACACTTGTATAATCCAAACAAGACGAGTTTCTGAGATCACAGGGCTTTTAATATACAAATGCAAGAGTGAATCCTTACCCCCTGCCTCTCTTTATCCCTAATAATGAAAGCAAAGTTCCAAAAATATCTGTGGATAGAACTTGGTTTGAACAGCACTACTGAATGTATCTGAATAGCATCTGAAGACCAAACTTGACATCCTCACTTAGCTGTTGACAGTGGACAAGTCTTACGAACTCCTGCTAAAGGCTGAGGTGTGGTCCTTGTGAGCACTAAATGAAATTCACAGGAGTGTGACAGCTGCCAGGTTTCTTGACACGCAGAATTAAACAGCTACCCTTAAGGAATGAATGAACTAACTGCTGAGTTTGATCTAAAGAGCAGGCTTTGACTAGGCCCATTGGGCTTATTAACTAGTTGATTACATAATCAGGTGTAATGATATTATGCAATTATTTATATTTTCAGTCATCGTCATAGTAGGTGGGTTTAAGGAAAGGAAGTAGTTCAAAATCCAGTAGACAGATTTCTAACGAAGCTAGTTATCATTACCACTACAAAACCAATAAAGAATTACCAAAAAATCATTTCCATTTTGTTACAGTTATATATTTAACCTAGATTTATAGAAATATTTAGACTGATTGAACAACATCGATATATAACACGTTGTTATATTGAACAACACGGTCTTGTAGACTGGTCTGTGCTGACCCTAGCCTTCGAATGACCCAAGGAAATTTACATGAATTGGCATCTGATTCCCAATGGGGATGCTAAGATGATGTAAAATTACTTACAAGAATCATAGCTAAAAGCAGGACCTAAGACTTTATGCTGGCACTTGACACAAGATGGATTCCATCCATGCTTGCTAGTTTAATGAAAATAAATATGGTGTTATTTTTCAGAGTTAGAATATTTTTTCTCTAGGGTAAGACAAGCTACTAACATTTCACAGGATGGACTGGGGGAAAATTCCTTTCTCTTGAAAAAATTATATGTTCTTTTGCCAGGTTTCCATTGGAAAGAACATACATATTTTGAATTATCCAATGGGGTAAGTACATTTAATCGCTTGCTTTCAAGGAAAAGAAATCACAAGAATGAGCTCAGATAGCCATTAGAAAAAGCCTTGCTGCTGTGCTTCCTCTCCCCAGACTCGTGGCATTTCCACAGACAAGCTATGCCATCAGCCGCAACGGAAAAGAGCCTGCACTG